AGGTTATTCTTCACCCAGACTAAGATCGAGTGCTCACTGTTCTGAAAATGCACGATTACAAGGGTTTCCTGACCTTTACAGGCTTCAGGCCTTATTAAACAGAGGTATGGTACTAAACCATACTTTCATGGCATGATTATTTGACATGACTTTCCAAAACTTAGTGGTTAACAAACGAGACGTAATGCTCAAATCAAACTGTCATATACAATTAATATCAAATAAAAGAGTTAGTTATGAAACGTGTTAGATTTGATTTCTCTATTTAGAACTTGTGTGATGTGAAAGGCTGATCCTAATTGACATGTGATGGACCTTTTGCTTGCCTCTCCCTGTTGAATTTGGGAGGTGCATTTGATAGATGGATGTACCTACATAAACTTAGGCGTTATCTCTTAACTCCTAATTTATTTTTATGTGATAGGCATATGTTAGTTCCTAATTCATTTTGAGATGGTAGTAATGGGTTTTCTCTATTTCATTTTCAGGTATATACAGGTTGGGAATGCAGTTGCATTCCCAGTATTTATGGCACTGGGATATACTTTAGGTAAGGCTTGCCAAGGAGTGGATAATAGCGAACCCTTGATGACCCTTCCTATGAAGTTCCCGTCTGTCTCAAAGATATACTGTGCGCGGATCAATTTGACTAAATCAAAACCATTCAAAATTTTAATTTTTATTTATATTACTTTAAAATTGTTACCAGAAATGCTTTTCTTTAGCTGGTTTAGTAATGAAAAGGAAATAATGGAATATTGTTTGAATGAACATTCAATAATACTAGTATATATATGAATTCATCCAACCAATACAATTTTATAGTGTAGAAAATGCGACCATTACTTTATGAAAAGCTTTTGATAGGAAATAATAGACCTACCTTAACCTAACGATAAAAGGCAACTAAATGTTGACCAGACCTCTTCTACTTTTGAGTTATAATATTTCTTTATCAAATATAACGATTTCATTGGATAAAAATGATGATATTTCTTATCCAGGATAATGAAAGACGACGTGGTTCAACAGGGTAAGGATAATCCTAGCACAAGGAAGTTAAAAGGGTTAGATCATATCCCTACAAATATGGCGACGAACAGATATCTTCTGATCTTACACAGGCGGATTTCCTCTGATCCCGCAAATAAACCGAGGGAGAGCGACTATAAGAAGGAAATCCTACAGGGCAATAAAGGTATGAGAAAAAACTCCTAAACAAAATATAAATAGTTATTATGTGATACGATTACAAGTACTAACTTGATGGTCGGAGGGTCCTTGGCTGGCACCCCACCGGTGCCATTCGAAGTGACGTCCCTTTGTTTTGCAGGTAAACACCGTCGTTCCGAGTCGTGAGGATTTACGCATCAACAGTTGGCGCTGTCTGTGGGAACGATTAGTTCTCTGAAGAAATAATTATTCCGACGCGACTTGGCTCGGATGGCAAGACGAAAATTTCTGATCATAGAAATCATCCCAAAGTCATCAGTTGACAATGGGTTTCCATGTTCTTATATAAGGACGGGATTCTACATTTTGATTACCCGTCCATCATATTGGGGGCAAAACAATGGGTTGCGTGATGCCACCCAGTGTACAATGATAATAATCAAAATTTGGCACGTTGACCCAGGCCGTCCAATATGGTGTTTTCCATCTAGCGATGCTTGGTCCCCTCACTACTGAGGTTTGGTCGTGTAAGACCAGATTCCATCTCATATCAGGCAACAGCTAATTACAAATGCCTGATCGTTGAAGACTAAGACCTGGTCCCTCTGCACCTACATAAATGGGTAAGTCTCCACCCATCAAGAAGATCACCACCAACAAGGGGGTCTCTACCTACTAGTAAAGCCTCTACTACTAAGGATGTCTCTAACAACGGAGTCTCATTACTCCGTCCGTTCGTGCAATCAGGGTGGCCTTCTACACCTAAGAATGTATCGAGGCCTTCAGGTCCAAGGAGTTCAATGTCCTTCAAGATCCTATGAGGTTTGTATTCCCAAGGAGGTTCCTAAGTTAAGGGCGATCGTTGGACCCAACGAGGTACTGGCCACCAGACCGTCATCTGGTACTGGCCACCAGATCGTCATCTGTTAGCCGTTGGATACCACGCCCCTATCCACCAAGCATCAAGCTAGTCGCTGGACACTAAGCCTCCACCTACCAGATGACAGTCGTCACCTCTCTTCCCTTGCAGGAATTACCTATCGACTTCAGATTATGCAGAATTTTGGATTGACAATCCATTGCAGGTTAATTTTCAGTAATTCTTTCTAACACAATTTAATATTTTTAGACAACTGTAAATTGTTGCAGCACCAGACACCCCGTCTGTTGTATAAACGTCCATAGAATGGGTCATCACCCAAGATCCCAGCATCGGGGATAGAATAGTGAATCACACGATATCAATCGTCGATCTACATATGATGACAAGGTTTAAAAGATTGACATACCTTGGTGCATCGAGCTAGTCGGGTTTTTAGTCTTTTTCCTTTAGCGACCCCTCGGGGGCACTTGTCGTCTAAGACCGGTGCTCGATCCTCCGAAACCATAACCAGGTAAGTCTCTACACACCGGGAAGGGTATAACCCTTGGTTATCATAAATCAAGGCTTGGTTATCCAAAACCAAGACCTAGTCAACCAAGATTAAGAATTGATTGCCCAAAGTCTACAAAGGCTCAGTCATTCAAGATCAGTGCCCGGTCACCCCAAGTCTGGTCATCAGAGACCAAGACCAGGGCCTAACTGACGAAAATATGGTCATTAGAGATCAAGACTTAACCTACAAAGGTCAGGTCAAAAAACGATCCTCCCCCTCACGTGTTATACCTATGTGGTAATTAATTCCCTTACTAAAGGGACGAGCTTAGTTAAGCTCGTACTAAAGGGACGAGCTAAGTTAAGCTCGTAAAACCTAATTCGCTTACTAAAGGGACGAGCTAAGTGAAGCTCGTAAAATTTATTCCCTTGCTAAAGGGACGGGCTGAATGAATCCCGTAATCAATATCCCCGTATTATAAGGGATAGTAAAGAAATGTCATGTACTAAAAGAACTCGGGTTGAATGAATCCCGCAATCAATATCCCCGTACTATAAGGGATAGTAAATAAATGTCCTGTACTATAAGGACCGAGGCTGAATGAATCCCATAATTAATATCTCCATACTATAAGGGATAGTAAATAAAAATTCCTTATTAAAGGGAACGAGCTGAGGAAAGTTCGTAAAATTTAATTCCATTATTAAAGGAGTGACGACTTGAGTGAAGCTAGTCCAATTTATTCCCTTACCAAGGGAAGAGTATCTAAGGGTACAAAAAAGAATACCCAGGGGTAGAGCACCTAAGGGTATCAAAAATAGTATCCAGGGGCAGAGTACTTAAAGGTACTGAAAATAGTACCCGCGAGGAGATTGCCCAAAGGTACTAAAAATAGTACCCGATGGAAGAGTTCCCAGGGCAAAAAAAAAAAAAAAAAAATTCTTCTATTGTTCACATGAACAGTACCCGCGGGGGTACTGTTCCAAGGCCAAATATATATATATATATATATACTGTTCGCATGCAAAAAAAAAAAAAAAAATCTTTTACTGTTCACATGAACAGTACCCGCGGGGGTACTGATCCAGGAAAAAAAAAAAAAAAAATCCCACGGGGTACTGTTCCAGGAAAAAAAATAAAAATAAAATAAAAAATAAAAAATAAAAATCTTCTACTGTGGGGTACTGTTCCCAGGGTAAAATAAAAATAAAAAATAAAAAAATTTACATTCCCAAAATTAGACAAGTAAGCTTGGGAATGGGGGGCAACTGATAAGGAAAAATAGACCTACCTTGACCTAACGATAAAAGGCTACTAAATGTTGACCACCTCTTCTACTTTTGAGCTATAATATTTCGTTATCAAATATAACGATTTCACTGGATAAGAATGATGATATTTCTTATCCAGGATAATGAAAGACGACGTGGTTCAACATGGTAAGGATAATCCTAGCACAAGGAAGTCAAAAGAGTTAAATCATATCCCTACAAATATGGCGACGAACAGATATCTTCTGATCTTGCAGAGGCGGATTTCCTCTGATCCCGCAAATAAACCAAGGGAGAGCGACTATAAGAAGGAAATCCTACCGGGAAATAAAGGTATGAGAAAAAACTCCTAAACAAAATATACATAGTTATTATGTGATACGATTACAAGTGCTAACTTGATCCTCGGAGGGTTCTTGGCTGGCACTCCATCGGTGCCATTCAAAATGACGTTCCTTTGTTTTGCAGGTAAATGCCGTCGTTTCGAGTCACGAGGATTTACGCATCAACAGCTTTAAAATTATTACATTAAGATTAGTACTTTGTGAGTTGACAATATAGATAGATTAAATCACAGAATTTCAATGATTGTTAAAGTAGTATTACTAGCTAGGTTCGATTATTACTTGTGGTGTTTTGTATCTTTTTTAAAATTTAATAAATTAACCTATAAGAACGGTTGATGTGCGTCGCTCTGTGACCCCTATAGGAACGGTTGATGTGCGTCCCTCTATTGGTCACAGCTCACAACTGAATTTCTCTTCATAAGAACAACCTCCTCTTTAACTTGAAAAAAAATAAAAATAAAAAAAAAATAAAAAATCCTCCGCTAAAGCTTTGGATCTCAATGGAAGTTCCAAGCTCTAGAGGAAGGAGGGAAACCCTAGGGAGCCTTCTTCTGTAGATTAATTAAATTAATTTCTAAATTTTGGGTATGCAGGACCATACTTGGCCTTCTGTTGAAATTGATGATTGAGATTGTTATAGGATATAAATAATTACTTGTGGTGAAATTGATGACTGACATTGTGCTCAAGGCAGATAACATGCTGTGATAAATATTTCTTGGACACAGAGTTTGAGTGAGCAACATGCAATATCTGTCTCCTGGCTAGTACTAGCTAGTAGTGACCAGCTAATGAAATGAGGAGTTAATAAAGTAGCGAGGATGAACATTACATTGTATGTGGATATGGTAATGGGATTTATTCAATTGGGGAATACAGAAGGATCAACTTCCTTTATGCACGCCTGATGAACTTCAGAATACATACATAAACACACACACACATATATATATTTGATTTTTGGAGGAACAATTAACATAAGTGATAAATAAAGCAGCTAGGGTACCCTTGGGATGGAGCCAACTAGTCAAAATCCAGCATCTTCGAATGGCATGGCAGAAACCCAATCTCCATTTTTATCAAGCACCATCCCTTTATTCTTTTCAACCCACCATGACCCTGGAACATTATATTCATCCTTGAGAAAATCACAGGACTTGTTCACAAGAGCCAAACACCTCTTCACCTTCAGCTCAAACTCTCCATTACTTCCATTCCAACCTGCAACCACATGCAGAATACCTTGCAGGTTATGCCAGTCTCCTGGATTTAGTGAAGTCTTCAAGTATATTGACTTCCTACTATCCACCAGCAGCTCAATTCCAACATATGCATACCCCAACAACGTGCTAGGATAGTGCGGTATGAGGTCTATTACATTTCTCACATGTAATAATCGCAGGTTTTGCAGCGCCTTGAGCTTGTCACAGAAGACCTTGTTGCCCAACATTGGCAAACCAAACACAAAAGCCGCTACTTGGACATGATCCGCAACACCATTGTCCACCACATCAAAAGCGCTCAGAGCTGCAAGTGCCGCGCCTAGGCTATGTCCTGTGAATATCAAGCTTAAGTTTTCGTCTTTGTACTGTTCCATCAATTCTTTGATCTTTGTCAGAACTTGAGTTTTCGCGCTGGTCTTACTGAAAGGAGAGTCCGGATTGTTGGAAGTGTAAATTTTGAGCCAACCTTCCATGACCTCTGCCACATCCTCACCATCACCATCGGTACCATTGCCAGATCCCAACAATGGCGTGGCAGGCACGAGGTTAGCTTGAAAAACATCAGCCCACTCAAGAGTTCGGATGGTTCCACGCCAAGCAACATAAACTTCACGCCTGCCATTGGCCTTACTGACTTGGTCCGTGGTGACAGCAATGTATCCCATCCAGTTGGACTGGCGGTCCCAAGCTTCTGAGGATGTAGAGTTGATGAGGAAGGCGTCAGAGACATCAATGCTTGAAGTGGCATAGAGGAAGGTGATGATTTGGTAGTCTGATGCAGAAGGTAGGCATACTTGTTGGAATAATGATTTCATGCCATAGCGGCTGCTGCCACAGAATTTGGAGTTTGCATCACTGATGAAGGAATCATAGGTGGCTTGGCAGAAGTCACCGCAGCGGAGGATGAGTTTCCTGAGGCTGAGGTCAAGGGGGTCAAGCAGACCTTCCCATTCATTGCTTCCTAGTAGTTCTGCCCATGCTGCTTGTGTTTTCACTGTTGCCATGAAATCAATTGGGGTTGGGATGTATCGATGTGTAGGTAGGTAGGTAGATCAAAGAAGAGTTGATAGGTATTGGGGGTACTGGAAGAGCATGCCAGTGAAGGTGCTATGGTAGGGTTTAAATAGAGGAAATGGATAAGGATAACAGTTAACAATTCTCTTCTTTTTTCAGATTTCAATCTTTGAACATTAGTTCCATAGAAATGAGAAGGAGATACCATTTGGACCTGGTAATTTAATCGGATTTTTACATGCCTTTCATATAATGGCAGATCAAAATAAAAAAAGAGACATGAATAATAAATTTCAAGTGAGATTTTTTTTTTTTTTTTGGTTTTGGTTTCTTCATATCCTCTTTTCTGGGTGGAAGTGGACAAGAAAGATTGGATGTAGCTAAGATTCTGCTAAAGAGGATAGTGTTTGCTTGGTAAAGAATAGCTAGGAGGTAGCTGTACGTAGTAGTTGATTATGATGGATATGAACTAGAAGCGGAAACGTGAAAAATGGTTTCTTTGTAAAAAAATCATGGCATGCCACCAGACAAAGTGTGTCGTTGTCTTCATTAAGTTGGCAACAGGTGCTTTGTCACAGCAATTTGAATAGTTGTGGACATATGTATAATACCGACATTTAAATGACTCTAACATGTTACACTAAATTTTCTTGAAAGTTCAAGTCCACCATTATTGGAATGGAGCTATGACAAATATAACAAATACCAACTTCATCCAACAAAAATAACAAATATCAACAAAATGTATGTTGAGTCTGTTCAATTAATTACAGTATATATGATTTAGCAAACAAAACTGTCTGTCACATTTAATTATTATGTGCATGATGTATTTGTATAACTACTCTCAATATATCATTTTCTGAGTTTGCGATACACATCTCGAGACTATTTCTGTGATATGTATAATAGCTATTACTCTGTACAATAAGGTTCAAAACAAATTAACAAACTAAAGAAATACCAAAGTTGTAGAGGAAAAAAAAAGGTCCTAACAGAAGGGACAAAGATGTAATCAGAAACGCCAGATTCATTCGGGATAACAAGTTACGCATCTTGATTGAATGTCTTGGCTAGGTTGGAGTTGATTTTTGGAAGTCTTCCCAGTAAAACTACTACTCCATAGTACAAGTATACACAGTATTCCTTGTTATGCTCTCCTTCAATAGCCCGAATGGACGATTGTATACTTTCTTAGAAAACAGAGGGTTTTGAGAATGCAACATAGGAGAAAAGAAAATAATATTCTAAAAGTATAGTAAATTTAGGCCCGGAACAGTTCCATTTTATGCTTCTATTTTCATTTGATTCATAAACAACGTGTTTGGGAGCTTCTTCTTTTTTTTTTTCTGTCGACATTCGACAACATACGCAGAACAGTTTAAATCCCAATAAAAATTACTCCGTAATAAAGAAGCTTTGATGTTTTAATTACCTTATTACAGTGCACTAGTCACTAGAGGCAACAAATGAACACGAAACAAAAAGGGATTTCTAAAGAGGTCCTTTAAAGTATTGTGCCACGGAGTAAAAGCAATGTTGCTGTGGCAGAAGTGATGTGCAGTTGTAATTGGGCTTATATATGTGTGTGTGTGTGTGTGGATGGGACTTGGCCTATGATGGTTTACTGTTATTGGGCTTTACCCGTCTTCTGTTGGTCTTATGACACATACTACTAGTAGCTCTTCGCAACGGAGCAAGCAGTGCGGGTCAGAATTTTTCTGATCTTAAGATTTCCGACAACCACAATCCATCGTTTTGAAACTTCCGGCGTCTTTTGAATTCGGCCTCTTCCTCCAACAGTCAAATTGAGGTAGTATCATACAAAACCATTGGTTCCGTTTTTTGTATTTTTAATCTATAATTATTTTTTCTATGGAAAATGATAAGAGAACCTAACCAAACAACCGAATAAAAAGGTCGAATTTAACGTGGTTCAGCCACGTCAGATTATTTTCTAAAAAGATAACTCCTACCCCTTCCCTTCTCTCTCCTCTCTTTCTTTAATTCTCGATTTTTATTTTCTATTCAATCTTATCTTTGATTTTGGTTTTGTCTCTCTTTTGATTTCCTAAAATTGAAGACAAAATAAAAAAATTTAAATTTCTTCATGTTTTGCAAATACAGAATCACAAAACCAAAACAAAACAAAAAAAGAAAAAGAAAAATAAAATAAAAGCTACAATAGAAACTTTGAGAAGATTCATCCGTTTCTCTTCTCTGGATTAATGGCAATTCTTGTGTGGATATTTACTTACCAAAAAAAAAAAATTCAGCATAATTTTCATCTGGAATTGGAAAGATTTATTTTTAGAAGCTTTATGAATAGAGAAAAGTAGGTAATCTTGAAAAAGGAGCTGAGGATAAATAATTTTAGATCTTGTCTCTAGAATACTTCCGATATGTGTATCTCAAGAGAGGAGATGTATAAGAAGAGTTGGTGAAAGAACGAAGAGGAAGAGAGAGAAAATGGAAAAACTAGAAAAGAAAAGATCGATGATAAGGAGTTAGTTAATGAAATTATTTGACGTAGACAAAGCCACATAAGATTCGATATTTATTTCGGTAACAACGTTTGGTTTCAATATTTATTTCGGTAAAAACGTTCGGTTTCTCTATCACTGCTCTTTTTCTATTTCGTAGAACAATATAGGTTTTGGTGGTGTTCGATTTGGTTGTTGAGAAAATTAAAGAAAATCAAATGTTGAAGTTTTGTGTATTATCAAATTTTCTCTTTTACAATTGGAACCCAAAAAACAGCGAAATCTGAACTTGAACTTGATTGTGCCTCATTCGACCGTTTCATATATATTTTTGGTTAGTTTATTCATTATTGGTTGGGAATGCCAAAACGTATAGACCATGATATTCAATTTTTTTGTAATTTATATTTCTCTTTTTTATCTAAGCATGACGCTGTCTTGTAAATTATGCATATTTCTATTGAACTGATCTCCTGACATTTAATATATATATATATTTCAATAATTAATGGTCAAAAAAAAGCCTAATAAGCAGCATTTAACTTGTTATTTAACTGTGAATTTTAGACAATGACTCCAGATGCTTTTACGGATCCATTTACAATTAAAGCTACCTCCAATATGCAACACTGCTTCATTGATAGACAAGTAAAAGAGGATGATATTTAGCCAATCATAGTTTTGAAGACCTGGAGAAACTAGGTTTCATCAACGTTTGTTTAACTTTTGTTCGGCTTTTGCATTAACTTGGCGTTCTTATGCTCAATTAAGAATTATGGTGTATGAATTGTTCTCCATCTGAAATATGAGCTTGTGGGTGCATTTGGCGGTACCAAACTATTTAATGTCATTTCAACTTTCACTTGTTGCTTTTAAGACATGTCAGGGTCGTCGCTGGCCCTTGGGCCTCAAATTTTGAGGCCCATAAGGAATGGACGGGACAAAAACCAAAAAAAAAAAAAAAAAAAAAAAAACAGAGAGAGAGGGGGGGGGGGGGGGGGGAGTTAGCGTGAGGGCAAGTCTCAAATTTTAGAGGGAGCAAAAAAAAACAGAAAAAAAAAAAAAAGAGAGAGAGAATCTGCTTCGACACTCCGCACGACGCAGCCTCCGCTATCGCCTCAGGCTCAGGTCACCGTGACAGGGTATGTTCATCCTCTCTCTCTCTTCTCTCTCCTTTTGCATGAATCGATCTTTTTGTTTTCCTCTCCCTAGGTCCACTCCAGTCTCATAATAGCAGCAACCATACCCCTTTTCCTCATTATTTTTTTGCATTTTCACATTCAATTCTACGAAAATTAAGGATCCCTTCTAGTGGGTTGAGGACCTGAGGTAATAATTAACTTTTTCGATCTCTAAATTATGCTCATACTTAAAAGTGCCAAATTAAGGGTTTTTTTTAATTAAAAAAAAATTATTTTATTTTTATATGAAGATACATGCCACCATTATTGATGTTATTTGAAGTTGGCTCAGCTAGAATTTGAGTTAATAATGCTGTCAAAGCACTTGCCATCAGAATGTACAAACACATGGAAATCAAGAGCAAGCTTTAACAAAACAATTGTTAATGGTTTTTTCTATTAATTTGCACAGGTCTTCTGTAGCAATGATCAATCAATCACTGCTACTAAAGTTGATTCCTCATCCTGAAATCAAGAAAGGGGTAATTGGTTCCCAAAAAACACACACAAAGCTCCATTGAAAACTCCAGCCAGGAGATCATTCGACCAAACTGCTTGATTTTAGATTTTTTTAGTATTATATTTATTGTACGATCGGCAATGCTTAGTTATTATTGTTTCCGTTTGATTCTCCATCCGTTTTATGTTAATTGTGATCTTCTTTCACATGCTAACAGGACACTCTCCTGAGGATCTCGTGAGTTTATTTGCCTTGAACATTTACTTTGATATAAAGTTGAATTTTGATTTTTGTGACTAGTTGTGTTGAATATTTCCTTTTAATTTTTTTGATGTAAACTGGATCATACTCCTTTTAAAGCACCAAGACCGGGTGTTCTTTTGTGTGTATATTTTATGTTCTTATCATCTCATATTAATGAAAATTCCGCATTCTTATAAATTTTTTGTACCTGTGAAAATTTCGCACAGTTACCTCTCTTGTGCACACTGCATAGGCGCACAATTATTTATTGGTGGCGATAGGTTTATAGTTATAAGTTAGTTGTCTTATGCAAACTGCCCAGGTGCACAATTATTTGTTGGTGGTGATAAATTTATAGTTATTAATTAGTTGTCTTATGCATAATACACAAGCGCACAATTATATTAGCTATAGAATTTGAAAAAATCGTGTGAAAATTCCGCACTCTTATAATTTTTTTTGTGCGTGTGAAACTTAAGGGCCTCACATTTGAAAGTTCGCCTAGGGCCTCTCAAAATATTTGAAATCTCAGGGCCGGCCCTTAGACATGTTTGAATCTTTTGCAGATTTCTTACTTGCTTCATGCACTGAAGATTGGCAACTACAAAAATGGCTTTGGTTGATGTGATCAAATGTTGCCTTGATTCTGTCAGACAAGTAAGCCTTTTTTTTTTTTTTTTTTTTTCTTTTTCTTAAGGGGAAATATACTGGATTTCCATTGTATCTGTTTGCTTATATGCTTCCTTCAATTCTTTGTTGCCGATGATTCTGTTCTTATTTAAAATTTGAATTTGGAATATGCTGCTCAGAGCTTTATGTGGTGATAGTGGCTTGGAATTATCTTCATGCATTTTGTTATAACTCTTCTTAAAATTTCACTTTGTGTTGTTCAGATATCAGAGCATGTTGAAGGTTCCATTATATACCTAGATGCTGGATGTACCGAAAGTTTCCAATTAATTGGGGCGTTCCCTTTGTTACTTGAACTTGGAGTACGTGCTGTTTGCAGCTTGGAAAACATGTCTTCTTTTGATACGGTGAGAACAGTTTGATTGTGTTGTTATCTTGTTAATAAATTAAGGTTCCCTCTTCTTTCCCCAACCTTAACCCAGCTCCTAAAATTTCATTTGGTTTTTAAAGTTTAAGCTGTTTGCTATAGTAAAGCTAGAATCAGAAGTGGTAGCATTCAGACGACATTCATAATATATCATTTTGTGCTTAGAATGTTTTTATGATTTTCGTTATGTATTGATAATGTAGTCTCAAGCGTGCCTTGATTTGCTTGTAACTTTCTTTATGATCTCTTTCTCCAGGTCATTGATTGGAATTCAAAATTTGATCCAGCTAGGAAGATTGTGGTCATTACATCATGTTTTCTAAGTGATGCCCACCGGTATATATTACGTTGCCTGAGTACGCATCAAAGTGTTTTCCGTTGCATTATATTTACGTCTATCTCTGAGGTACTTCTTTGGCATTATTGATTTTGGTTGTCTGAGTTCATTAATCCCCCTTTTTTTGTTTTTTAGCAATTCATTCTTTATGTGTTCATTACATATTCGTCCACATTCTTTTTATAGGTTTTTTATTTTATTTTTCAATCTGGCATTTTTATGAAGAGATTTCTGATTTTAAGTCCTCCAATTTTTTTTATTTAATATTTTCTTCAGTCCATGAATTTATTTGACAAATATGTTCTCCTTAGTTATCCTTTCCAAGCTAAGCATCTTATATATTAGTTGGGTTGCTAAACTCTGTTGATCTCCCTTTGGAAATGAATTTTTAGTGTGTTGTCCAGAAAAAAATAGCTGATTTGTATTTTTTTCACTTGATCCATAAATCGAGATCTTTGTTTTAATTGGTATTGAATTCTTGAGAAGGAATGAATGCTGAAAGCCTGGTGATCTCCCTTGGAGAAAGTGTTTCGGCTCTAGATTATCTGCCACTATTATAATTAGCAAATATGTATTGGGTGCAATGAAAACAAAACTGGCTGCCAACTCTGAGAATGCGGATCCGAGTTTGAAAGCAGGGGGCATAAGCCGCATAAGCTTAGAATATGTTAATAATTGTAACAGTGTGAAAGGTTACCTAAATATTTTGTGATTTATCTACTCTCATTTTTGTTGATTGTGTATCTTCTTCAAAATCTTACCAATTATCATACAATTACAGGCAGCTCACTCAGCATATCCTGATTCGCCTTTAGGACCAGATGCTTTTCATGAATATGAATCCTTGCTTGTCCAAGATTATGAGGAGCTCTTGAAGAGAGGTGATATGAGATCTAGACAGTCCGGAGAAAGCCACTTTGAGGAAAATTTGACCCTGGAAGGTGAAGGATGGTCACGACTCACTTCTAGTGAAGAAGACATGTCTCGTTTTAAAGCTAATTCAAGTGCAGTAGATTCTTACGAAGATGATACCGTAAGCCATGCAGAAGATATAGGACAAAAATTGGTTGTTTCTGTCCATCACTTCCCTTTGATTTTGTGTCCCTTTTCACCAAAAGTGTTTGTATTACCTTCAGAGGGATCAGTTGCTGGGGCATACTTATCAGCTCTACAAGAGGATTCCCTTAGCCCTGGGTTGCCTCCGTTAAGTACTGGATTGCCTTCAGATGGTGATGACATTGTTCCTGGGGCGATTCTCACAGCACAGTTTCTGTATCATCTGGCTGCGAAGGTAATTGGTGTTATTCATGGTTGAACCTGAGCATGTTCTCTCAGTGCCATGTTCCAGATCTTTTCTATTTGTTTCCTTTTTAACCAATGGTAAGAACCAAACCTCCAGCTTCAATGCTCTTTTTTGGTGTAATGCCAGCAATTAACCGCTGTGCTACAACTTTGGCATTTTCTATTCATAATCTTTTTTCTTTTACATTCATTTTTGTTCTCTGAAGTGGTATATTTCTATGCAATATACCCTTGCAATAAAATTGCTATGGACTGAATACTGTGGAAGTTGAATTGACCAAAATCATGTGTTGGTATTCTCTACTTTGAGGTATGAAATGCATCAAATGAGAAAAATATCCGTGAATCATCCCCCGTAATATTGCCTAATCCTGTTGGGAATTGAAACACGTTTCAATATTAAGGACGGGTGAGGGTGTGCCATTATGCTCTTAATGAAACTGTATTATTATTGTTTCTCCAATATCAGGAGCACCGTAATGAGTATCAAACAAATAACTGATGAATGACCTTTTGAAAACATTGGATATGTGGAATTATATCGTTCGTAAGGAAGAGGTGCCCTTATATATCCTCCTTGTTTTTCCTTTATTAGTGTGATATTTTATCTGTTTATGCTGATTACTTTTGTCAACCCCATATCATGATATTGATCTTCTTTTTTTCAAAAACATGTAGATGGATCTGAAAATGGAAATATTTTCCCTTGGTGATATATCAAAAAGTGTTGGGAAGCTTTTGACAGACATGTCAAGTCTTTATGACGTAGGTCGTCGTAAACGATCAGCAGGGCTCTTACTTATTGACCGTACGCTTGATCTTCTTACTCCATGCTTCCATGGAGACTCGCTTGTGGACCGTATGTTTTCATCTCTTCCCCGTAGGGAACGAACATCCTCTACCCACATGAAAGGTTCACAAACTGAAATTAAACATGGCCCTGCTGGCCTACAACGTACTCCTCTTGATGTCAAAATACCACTTGCAGAACTTCTCCATGAAGAACATTCTCCTGCAGAGAATTTTGGGCTCCTAGAAAGCATTGAAGCTTTTCTACATGGGTGGAATTATCACGACTCATCTAAACGTTTGGAGTTGACTAATCTAAGTACCAAACTTCAGGGTGAAAAATCACTTCATTCTGAGAGTGAGATATTTAGTGGATCCTTTATCTCTGCTGAACATTTTCATGGAACACCATACCTGGAAGCCATACTAGATCGAAGAACAAAAGATGGTGCTATACTGGTAAAGAAGTGGCTCCAAGAAACTTTGCGTCGGGAAAATATAAACGTGAATGTGAAAATGCGTCCTGGTTTTGTTACAAAATCAGAGTTGCAAACTATGATTAAAGCGCTGGCTAAAAGCCAGTCAACTTTACTGAAAAATAAAGGAATTATTCAGCTTGCAGCAGCTACATGTCATGCCCTGGACGAATTACATTCTGCCAGATGGGATGCATTTATCAGTGCTGAGAAAATATTGAATGTAAGCGCTGAAGACACTAGCCAAAGCCTTGCTGCTCAAATCAGTGATGTTGTAAACAAAAGTTCTTTGATAGGATCACAAGCACATAGTAATGTAAAAATGGAAGCCTCAGAGGTGCTACTTTCTTTTCAAGATGCTTTACTCCTTACTGTTACTGGGTATATATTGGCGGGTGAGAATTTTCCGACATCTGGGTCTGGGGGGCCTTTTTCTTGGCAAGAGGAGCATTTCTTGAAAGAAGCTATTGTGGATGCAATTCTTGAAAATCCAGCAGCTGCAAAAATGAAGTTTCTCCATGGTCTAGCAGAAGAGCTAGAAGCCAACTTAAGCAAGATGAAATCAGAGGAAGCGAAGGAAGAGCCTTTGAATCAATTAGAAACCAATGATTTTGACGATGATCAGTGGGGTAATTGGGGTGATGAAGATGTTGATAAACATACTGATAAACAGCAAGTGTATGACAATATGCAGCTGAAGCTGGAGTTGCGTGATAGGGTGGATAACCTTTTCAAATTTCTTCACAAGTTGTCCAATTTAAAGAAGAGGAATATACCGCTGAGAGAAGGAACATTGGTGGTCGAAAGTAACTTTAATAGTGATTCGTACCCAAGTAAAGGATTGCTTTACAAACTTCTGACAAAAATTTTGCGGAAGTATGATGTACCTGGTTTGGAGTACCATTCCTCTACTGTGGGTCGAATTTTTAAAAGCGGGTTTGGGAGATTTGGCCTAGGACAGGTAGTTCTGGTCCCTTGCTTCTAATGTCTAAATTTCCTTTTATACCAATAATGTCCTGATTTTTTTCCCTCAAAACTCTACAGGCAAAACCAAGTCTTGCCGATTATGATGTTATTCTGGTCTTTGTTGTTGGTGGCATCAACAGCGTTGAGGTTAGATTTTCTTCAACTCTTGTTTCACTATTGTTTAGTGACTATATACTCTCTCTTAGAATCTGCTTTTTGATTTCAAATATCTGTTTTTCAATCCACACATGCACACTCGCATCTTTCTTCTATTTGACTTTCCCATGAAATGTTATAACATTACATTTGGCTTGATGGTGCATCGTGTAGCAGGAATTTTTTTCTTTTACAAAGTAAAAATTAAAATAACCCTCTTTTAACCTCCTATTAAAGTAGAATAAATTCTCTCTTTTGTCTGAAACATAATGAGACCTTGCCCTGTTACTGTATTCCCAGGTACGTGAAGCTCAGGAGGCATTATCTGAAAGTGGGAGACCTGATATAGAATTGATTCTTGGTGGAACAACTCTTCTGAGTCCTAACGACATGTTTGATTTACTCTTGGGGAACTCTAGTTTTATTTAGGTCAGCCAAATTTTATTTTATTTTTTAATGGAAATCACTGAAGAGAAAAAAATACAATTTGGAAAAGCCAAATTTCTTGCAATATATGTCTTAAGTTCTAAACTTGTTTTGATCAGAGTTAGTTTGTTGTCATTTAGAGGCCCTCTTGAAGGACGAAAAGGAAAGTCTCTTTGATAGATGTATCTCATGGGTGGTCTAGCCTATCTCATACAAAAATGGAAATTGAATTATGTTAAACTTACTGTGTTATTTTCTAATGTCATGTGCTCTATATGTTGCCATGTGCCCAGTATGGTGCATGATATGTCAGTTTCTCGTCTTCAAACTTATTTTAGTGAGATGCTGGCTCGCCTAAAATTTCCATCTAGTACTGCTAGTTTGCTTCTGGGAGTGATTTCAACTTCAAATGATTTGTTTACTTAATTTGATTAAGTGCTACCATTTTCAAGTTTCTTTTAGATGCTGCCTGCTGCCAGGTGGTAGGGTTTAATATGAATAAGAATGCAACTTGTGTGGAATTATTTTTTAAAATACGGAGTATAAATGATTATCGGCGACATTCATTAGCCGGATATCTCTCTCATAAATCTTATTGTATCATTAAGGGCCTTGTTGTCTAGTCATACTTTCTCGCCTTTTTAAATAGAAGGTCAATTGTTTAAGTCCTCATATTGTGTAAGTATATTTTTTACCAATGAAAAAAAATAGAGCAATGCTATTCTACCCGACTTGCTTTTCCCCGAACAAACTGACAACACGTGTCAGCTGCAGAATTGCGGCACCGTTCTTTTCCACTTTTCTTTAGTTCTCTCACTCCTTTGTCATCTCTCTCCTCTCTCTTTCCTATGGTCGGCATCAGCACCATGGAATCACCATCAAGCAAAGCAATCGGTGATGGAGATTCGTCAGGAGCAAAGAGATTGACGGAGTTGAGACATCGGCCACGGATTCGTAGCAAGTTCGGTCTCTGGTCGGAATCCGATTACGGATCCGATGATATCACAGACCCGTCCCGGTGATACCAATCACCCTTCGACGCCATCCTCACAGAGCTCATAGGTTGCAGTCAGTCACGGCCATCCTGTACTCAACGCTGATCCTTGCTCGCAGTGTTTTCTTCCTTCCTTGCCCATCGCCGGAATCGTGCACCACGCGTCTGTACGCACCAAACCCTCTCTATATCAGATTGTATCGACAACCTGCAACTTCCGATCATTTTGCCGGCGTTCTGTTCTCTGCCATCATCAGTCCTTGTCGCCGATCACCAGTCAACCCTGTCGTCGTCACGACCATCTCGTAGCTGTCCTTTATTGTCGACGTTCTCCGAGCACAACCTTGCTCGCCGCCGGCCTCGTTGAATCTTCCATGGTCATCACTTCATCATTCTACCACCATGCTGGTGGTAGTGGTAGTTGTGGGGGTTAGGGTGGTGGTGGTGGGGTGGCAGCCCCCGTCGGTAGTGGTGGTGATGCGGTGACTGCCAGTTATGGTGGTGGTGTTTTAGTCACTGGTTGTGGCGACAAGAAGTGAAAATTGTGGTGGTGGCGGGGCTTCACTAGACAAGAAGTGAAAATTGTGGTGGTGGTGGGACGTCGAAACTGTGTTTCATCCTTGGATTGTTGTTCATTCTCAAAGAGATTGGAAGGTTTTGCAGAGGGAGAGAGGCTGTGAGTAGAGCAAGAGATCAAGGAAAGTGTTGTGCGCAAATAGGTTATTGCCACGTGGTAGTCGGTTTTTTGTTGGGTATATATCTGTCGTCAAAAAAAGCATTTCTCAAAAAAATATATGTTTGTTAGAGGATTCCACAATTATTAATACACAATCAGTACGCATGCGCTTTGGGACTATGAATACTGCAAATTGTATTTGTGATTACCATGTTTGTTGAATTGTAATGATTACCATGACGTATGCATATAGCAAATTGCACTCTTAGCTTTCTTTACAAGCACATTGTATTGCTATAAATATCAGGTCATTCTGGTATTCTATGGGTACCAAAAACATAAGAGAAATAAAATTCTCTTCTCTCTCTCTCAATTTATTGTGTCCCTTCTTTCTCTATCAATTTATTATGTTCTATTATTATATTTATAATGCGTTATTAGTTCGAGCTCTAACTATCTGAGACTTAGAAAAAAAGCTCTTTTTTCCTCTTTCTATCTCAACTCTATATATCTATTTTGTGATATTAGTTTTGATAGATTGTTGAGTTTGCTTGTTTTACTGAAGAATATTGTATTGCTCACTCCAAAGGTTATTCTGAAAATGTTGGAGTTCGTGGCTCTGGACATTTCTGGCAAAAATTATTTATCTTGGATTCTGGATGCTCAGATTCATTTAGATGCTATGGGTCTTAGAATCACAATTCAAGAAAAAAATGATGTATCGTTACAAGATAAGGCAAAGGCAATGATTTTTCTTCGTCGCCATATTAGTGAAGAACTAAAAACTGAATGCCTCACTGAAAGAGATCCACTGAATTTGTGGAAAATTTTGAAAGAAAGATACGATCATCAGAAAACTGTTATCCTCCCAAAAGCTCGAGCCGATTGGCAGGAGCTGCGGTTGCAGGATTTCAAAATTGTGGCTCTATTTAAAATCAGTTATACCCTAAAATTATGTGGTGATATTGTCACTGATGAGCTCCTATTAGAAAAAAACATACATCACATTTCACGCTTCGAATGTGCTTTTACAGCAACAATAACGAGAGCGTAGATTTGAAAAATATTCAGAGCTAATATCATGTTTACTTATGGCTGAACAAAATAACGAGCTTTTATTAAGAAACCACTAGTCCCGTCCAACTGGATTGACACCGATCCCTGAAACATACATTGCCTCGCTTCGTGGACGAGGACATGGACGTAGATGTGGACGTGGGCATGGTATGAATATGACCGTGGTTGTAATGACCCGGTTTCTTTTTTCCTCCTTTTCATTTTTCGGTGATTTTCTTTTTTCGTCTTTTTCCTATTTTGTTTTTTTTCCCTATTTCATCTTTTTCCCGTTTTTCATTTTTCCTTGCATAACATCACTTGTTGTGCTCGGATTTGATTCCGATTTAGTATGTATTCATGATATTTGATTTCCATGTTATTTGTATTTTTACTTTTGTAGAAAATACATTCTAGTTGCTTACTTTTTCATAAAGGGCATGGATGCATACTTTATTATAATTATTCTTTATTTTTTGGGTTTTTGTATAATTACATAAATTAATTATTTTTCGTCTTGGGGACCATTTTGCAATTTATTTTGGAAGATATTTTCAAAAAGGACCTTTTTGCAATTTTTGAAAAATGTGACAAGTGTCACATTCTCATGGTGTCACTTGTTGGCATTGGGGTGGAGTGACTTGGAAGCATAATCTATTGACATTTGGAGGGTGGAGATTCACTCACTTGTTGGCCTAGGATTGGAGCATTTGTTGGCTTAGATGGTTGACAAGTATAGGCTTAGGATTAAGCCTAGGAAGATTGGATTTGTGACAAGTGTATGATCATAATTTAGTCTTGCATTGTGTGTGTGTGAGATGTAGTGTAAGAGCACATAGTGAATGGAGTAATACTAGATCTTCCACTCACCATTTTCACTTTATCCTCTTCATTTTCACTTCTTTCTAACAACCCTAACCTAGCCACCATTGGAGAAAAGCTTGGTTAATAACTTTAACTTCATTTTTGGCTTCCTTCCACTCACCCTAGACTTAAAACAGTGGAACACAAAAGTTTTCTCTTGCTCTCCTCTTCATTAACCCTAAACATGTTTTCCATTTTGAGTTTAGTTGCTTGGATTATAGAGATTCAATTCTCTATTAAGGTAGGGGTGGTAGTATGTTTATATTTTAAGTGTTTTAAAATCATTTGGGGTTTAATATATATTGTGTACATGCTTTTAGAATTGTAGTATTGCATACTATAGGAAATCCTTAAGATTGACTTAGGATTTAATGAATTAAGCATGTATATTGTGTATGTATCTTGAGTAGGATTATTAATGTTGTATAGAACTCTTTTTTATTTGAATTACTATACTATTGTGATGTCAATCTTACTTTCTAGTGAATTACTATTGGTAATTGTAATTATTTTAGAAACTTAATACTATAATGTGGTAATCTAGTATATGAAGCTTATTATTAAAGAATGGTTTAAATTGATAAGTTGGTGATATTGTTTTGCACATTTATCATGATGAGTACTTGTCATTTATCATGTCATTCTAGACTTGGAAGCCCTAAGACATAGATTGTGTGCGTTCAACCTACTTGTGCATGGAAGGTGATTTCGTGCATTATATAAATTATATATAAGTTGTGAACTTATTTGGTTTATTTTGGATTATCTTGGGACATTGTTGTTACAAGTGATATGGTTAGAGTTTGGCTCTACTGCGGGAGGTATGAGTTCTCCCCATTTATAGTGCGCACTTAGGGTGATATTCCCAGCGGGTTAATGCCCGAAATAACCATTTAGGTCTTGGCTTTATCCAAGATCTGATGTCCAAGTATTCCACTAATTGATTTCGCATTCTTTTTCCAAGTTGACAACCAATGTTTAATTGTGACTTGTGATTTGGTTATTGGCGAATTAATGTTGTTAAGTATATTGATATTGTTATTGTGTTATGATGGAATCATTGCATTAGCTTAAGGTGATCTCTTAGAATACCTTGAACATAGACGTTAAGTGGAATGCTCTCTTGTATTCGTCTATATTGATCTTGCAATGATATTAAAACTTTAGGGTATACGCATATGCTTCTTTCTACGAGTAACTTGATTACTCACCCTAGTGGTTTGGGTTGTTTTTCAGGTAAGGAGACTATGTTCTTGGATGCTCATTATCCTTAGAGGCTAATGAGCAATTTGGAACATTTTTGTATATTGACATACAAGTGTTTAGCATGCGTTACTTTTGGATGTTATATTTTTGCATATCATGGATGTATGGTATTTTAAAAGCTAATATGGCTTTCTTAATGTGTAATGATACTTAAGCACTTACTTTGATATTATAAGCATGTATGTAATGAGGTCAAGGGTCAAGCATGTTGCTTTTGTACTTGTATTCATTTGGTATCATACTTTCACTTAAAAATGTGTTTTAACCAACCTTAGGGTTTTAGCATATGAAATCCTTGTATTTGACATGAAAAGAGCCATGAACCATTGTTTTACATTCCATATTCATATTACACTTGTTGACATGTCCACACACTCACTTCTCCAT